GTGGCGGTGGTGGTGATGTGGAAGAGGTGGTGGAGGGGCCTGCACCATCGTTGCAATCCTCACTGGCTGCCTGTGCGCATGAAGGCTTCAGCTTGGGCTTGCTCGACGGCGGAGGCGGCCGCGGCGGTGGTCGTGGCGGCGGCATTGTAGCTGCTGCTGCTTGTTTGTTGGTGTTTGTTGTTGGTGTTGGCTCGAACCAACTTTCATGCAATTTATGCTGTTGCATGGAAGTTTTGTTTCCTTTGTTGGCTGCTGGCTGGCTTTGTTTGGCGGTCCTTTTACTTGCGAAGAGCAGAGCAACATGCCTCTATGCCTCGCGTACTTTCGTTTTCAACGCACACAGACACACAGACACACAGACACAAGACCAACACCGAGATACCGTCTCGCTGTCGCGTAAGGTCGAAACATCACATACACATCACACAACATCACAAACACATCACATCACACAACACACATGCGTGCATTTCAGTACAATCAAGCAAGCAACAACTGAAGAATCAATAGAGAAACAAGGGGCGACACACAGCAGCCACGACGCGTGTTGACGCCTGACACGCGCATCTAAAAGGAAACATCACTCTCGCTCTGTTTTCACCGACTCTCTTCCCCCCCCCCCCCCAAAGCCAGCTCTCAATCAGAAAATCACAATACGGCAGCAGTGTCGAACGCAAATGGTGAATGCAGATGGTGGTTTAGACTGTACGTCGTGCTGGGGGAAGAGGGGGAACATCAACCCATTCCACCCGATTGTCACACGGCACCGGATGTCACATGACAGCGTTGTGTGCGTGCGTGTGTGACAAATGCCCAATGTCGTACAACGGCACAACACCAGCATCATCATCAGCAGCACTAACACTGTCACCCTCTCAGTTCTTTTCGCCAGCTGGGTTTCCGACCCAGGGGAACTTCTTTGGGCACTCCTCTGCGCACGTCTCGAGCGTGATGGGGTTGCCCGTGACAGGGTCTTGGAACCTGTGGTGAATCGACGGATAGAAGCAGGGAGGGGCGGCAGTGAGGGTGTGCACGGTTGAGGTCTCAAGTTGCACGCGATGGCAAGGAGAGGGAGGGACGGTATGTCGTGATTTGATGCATTCAACACACACACACACACACACACACACACCAAACAATACACGCACTCCCTCCCTCCCTCTCTCATACACACACGCACATACATAAATACACATGCACACATAAGTGAATACACACTCTCACACACATACATAAATACACACACGCACTCCCCGCCTCATACACACTCTCACAATACCAATCAACTTACACGCATTTCTTTGCCTCTGCGGCTGTGCAGGGCGGGGGGCCTTCCACCTCTGTGTCGCACTGCCACGAGTCCAGCTTGAACACGCGGTCCAGCGAGACGGGCGTGTGCATCCAGTCGAGGGCCTGCGCCTGGGACACCATGTACACTTCGTCGTGTCGCAACAGCTCGTCGATAAACTCGTCCAGCGCCTCGAGCACGTGCGGGTAGTTGTCGAACCACGACGCGTGCATGTACATGTTGAAAGGGGCGCGGTTCTCGTTGAAGTGGCGGTTGAAGTTGTGGCGGAAGTACTGCAGCGCAGCCTTCTTTGTGGGTGGCGCATACTCGTCAGCCATCCTGCAATTTGAGATACAGAGACCGCGAGAGAGAGAGAGAGGTGGAAGGGGGAAGCGCGAGAGGGGCAGTTGTGCGTGGGTGTGCGTGGTGAGCGCGTAGAAGGAAAGGGTTTGTTGTGCTGGGCCATAGACGTACGTTACGTAGTAGAAGGGGGGCAAAACGGAGGGAATCGGGAACATGCACGTGTTCATGCACTCTTGCTCACTCGCAAACACATACACACACACACATACACACACACACAACACAGACTCACATACACACACACACACACAAAATACACAAAACACACAAAACACACATACACATCACTCACCCGTAGCGAACGGAGCCGTCGACGGACTCCCACTGCGTGACGGGAAATTCCCACAGGCCTTGGTACGAGTACTGGGCCGGGCACGGCTCAACAACACACGTGGTGGACTTGACCCAGTCCAGCGTGTACGGGTACAGCGGCGGGTTGGTGAAGTCCTTCTCAATGAGGGTTGAGTCGCGGTTGAAGCCGTTGCGGGCGAGCGCAATGAACTGCTGGTCGCCACCGGGCTGCAGGAAGGGCGCGCGGAAGCCCGTCACCTGGTTGGAGGGAACAAAGGCAAAGTTGCGGATGATTTCGCGCTGCCCGAGAATCTCCTCCTCCCACGCGTCCGTGTGGGTGTGGCTGATGGTGTGGGACGCAATCTCGTGCCTGTCGTGGTAGAGGCTCTGCAGATGATGGGATGGGATGGGATGGGATGAAAAGTGGGGTGTGTGTGGGGGGGGGGACGTGAGCGTTGGGAAGGGTGTGGAGGAATGCAGTGGTAGGCAGGCAGATGTGGGTATGTCGACATAGCATGTGAGAAATGTGGGCATAGAGTCGAGACAGAGTGAACAAGCAAGCACACGAAAAAGCATGCAAACACATTTGCACACACATGCACAAACAAATGACGCACATGCGCGCGCACAGACATGCACACACGCGGAAGCACACAGGCACACACCTGGACGAGGCGGTAGTTTGTGAAGCGGTGGGAGACGAAGAAGGTGGACGTGATGGGGCAGTTGTTGGGGTTCTTGCGGTTGCGGAAGAGGCGCTCGTAGTACGGGTAGACCTCGTTGTTGATGGCGTCGTCGAAGGTGAGCATGACAATCTGCGGCACATCTGCCACGGGGAGGTCGCGCGGCGGTGTTGTCTGGCCGATGCACCCGCAGTCTGGCAGCTGCAGCACGCAATGAAGACGGGGCACAGAAGCAGTACCAGGGGCAGATAAGGTGGAGCACAGTGAGTGTGAGACTCGATGGGTGTTGGGAGAATTACAGGGCTCACACACGCACAAGTGCACACGCACACACACGCACACGCACACACACAGACACACAGACACACAGACACACAGACACACACACACACACACACACACACACAGACACACACACACACACACACACAGACACACACACACACACACACACACACACAAACACAATTGTGTCAACTCACCACGCAAGCGTTGGGGGAGCACTCCGAGGTTTTCCTGGTTACAATGGGCAAGGGATCCGGTAGCACGTCGCGGAAGGCGTATGGGCTCTCCGTGGAACTGGAATCGGGGGCGTCGTCGTTGTCGGGCATGAAGGTGGTGAGGAAGGAGGTGGTGTAGATGCCGTTGCTGCCGCTGGATTGCGACTTCTTGGGGCCAAGGACGCCGTCGCCATACAGCCCGGCGAGCACGAGGCCGGCGATGAGGAGCAGGAACAGGAAGAACTTGAAGGGCGTGCACAGGCAGAGCTCGCTGTAGTCGTAGTTCTCCTCAAGCTCGTCAATGGTGTATGGCCCGCCCTGCTGGCGGGAGACGATCATCTGCTTCTCCATGGCAAACTGCGGGTTTGGCATCTGCACGATGGAGGAGCCGCGATCGCCGTCGCTGCCGCCCATGCTGCTGGCTGCAGCCAGCTCTCGCCGCTTGGCCTTCGTTGTTGCGCGCATTGCAAATGGAAGGGAAGAAGAAAGGAAGGAAGGAAGCAGATATGTGGGTCGCGGGACAGGAACAAGGGGGGGGGAGGCAAGGAAGGGGAAGTGTGTGGGGGAGTAGGCGAGACGAATCAATGAGTAGCTGCTGGAACACAGCCAGATGCACACGCGTGGAGGAGACTCTTGCGTCCACGAGCGAGCGCTTCACAGCAACGAGAGGTGGGAATGGGAGAGGATGGCGGAGAGGTGAGAAAGAGGGAGTGCAGAGAAGGGAAAAGAGGGAGGAGAAATGTCGTCGTCGACGCAGAAGAAGCAAGCAGAACAAGCAAGCAGAACAAGCAAGCAGACGACGAAACAAAACCAGCTCCGGCAACCAAACAATGTGGGGGAGAATGTGTCGGGTGCGTGCTGTGCGTGTTGTGTGCTGTTTGCTGCTGCTGCTGTGTATGTGTGTGCACAAAAACTTGCTGCTATGCGAATGCCATGCCAGCGCTGCGTGTCCTCAGTGACGAGCCATGCTGCCAAGACACAGCCCAGACAACTGCCGCAGATGCCAAGCGAGCTTTGCGATCCTCATTCGCCACCCTGTCCTTCAACATCGCATCGCGCAACGCGCTTCGCCACTTCGCTCCATGTAATTTACACGACACCACAAAAGTGCTGAAACAAACGGAAATTTGACTTTCATGATGTCAAAATTGACTAATTGAAAAATATAAAAAAAAATTGGTGTATGCGTGCCAGCCTGAAACGAACTCGCACCAGCCAGCCAAAAGCCAACAACCACCACACACATCCGTTTTCCACACACACACGCACACGCAGCTCCGCACCATCAACGGGCACGACGACAAACCCCCCTCCTCCTCCTGTCAACAACAACAACAACAACAACAAAGCAACGACGATCTGAGTGAGAAGCAGACCACATTCGATTCTTTGCTGCATCAAGGCCCCAACGTACGTGTGCCCGTCACCCAATCAATCACATCAAATCAATCAAGCTGATCCGCAGACAAGCCAGGTGAGGAGGAGGAGGAGGTGTTTCGCACTCTCTGATCATCTCATGTGATGTGACACCACCATGATTCTGATCTCGGAACGTGGTCGTGGTTCTTGGGGATGGGGAAGGGATGATGATGCCATCCATCATATGTCTGTGTGTGTGTGTGTGCTTTTGGTGAACGCTTTGCTGTTGGGTACATGCGTGCGTGCGTTGGGCTCGATTCATTCACGCGTGACACATGTATGGGTCGTCCCTTTCTGCCCGCAACTCGTGTGCGTCGCTGACGACAGGGGTTGCTTCGCGACGTCCAGCACGACCACCACCGTCACCGTCACCACCCACACAAACACAACCAGCCATGGGAGCATTCCTTGACAAGCCAGCTGTGGAGAAGGAGAACCACAGCGGCTCGTGCGATCGCCTCTCCTACGCGTTGGCCGCCATGCAGGGCTGGCGGACAGAGATGGAGGTGTGTGTTTGTTCGTGTGTACGTGTTTGTGTGTTTGTTTTTATTGTGTATGTGTGTGTTTGTTTGTTTGTTTGTTTGTGTGTATGTCTGTCTGTTTGTTTGTGTTTGTGTGTGTGTGTGTATCTCTCTCTCTCTCTGTCTCTGTCTCTCTCTCTGTCTCTCTCTCTCTCTCTCTGTCTCTCTCTCTCT